ACTATCAACATTTGACAACAGAGTCCAATCCTTGCGTTGAAATTTAAGCGTTATTCTCTATAAAAAAGATGCTTATTTGTAAAAATGCTTGTTACCCAATATTTTAAAGAAATAATGATCATAGCGACTTTTGTTTACGTAATGAGAAAATGGTTCGGCAATGTTTACATCCAAATGCCACTTAAAGATCAAATTACACAGTATGATTGTCTCTTCTACAAAATGTAAAAACTTGAGGTATTTAGGCTGATAAAACATACAGATCGCATAGATATTTGACAAAGAAATATTGTAGTCGAGTGAATAAAATCTATTTGTTATCGAGTGTCATATATCACTTTATCCGTTAGTACAAAATAACAAATAAATCGTAAGGTGAAGTAAAAATGCGGAAATGTTCTGAACCGGAATACACATTAAATTGTCTTGAATATATTATTGCAAAAGAAATGTAAACGAATGGTAATATTTTTATACACATTCTATGTAAATTGTACGTATAATCAGTAATGAAACTCATTGAAATGAAGTTTTTAAAAAATGAAAGAAATGGAAACACTACAAATCTTGCGAAAAAACAAATAGTAAATATTAAGTTGCTTGAACCAGAAAATTGTGCCATGCTTGTGCCATGCTTGTGCCATGCTTGAACCAGAAAATTGTGCATTGACCAGAAATATGTGCTTGAAGGCTAAGAATAAATATGTTCTTGTTACACAACCAGAGAAAACATCTTTCTGTCATTTTTCTTTTCATAGTCTATTTCGTTGGTACTTGGTTTGTATTTAAATTTATAGAGAAAAAATATACAGTAGTATATTGTATATTGAAATTGTATTTTAAGTTTTTGCGTTGTAGCTAATTATCTAAAAATGATCCCTTCATTTTTATATGATGTACCAAGAAAAAACACCGATTTGATATGCAATGCTGCTCGACAAAGATAAATTAGCCCGTCCGACCCTTTTTATCACTTCAGGTTCTTATGCCTTTAGAAAATAACTTCATGGGAATGCCTTCTCTAAATAAGAGCCATGGTGCATTTCAAGTTTTTACTGATTCCAAACAAATTTTCTATATTATTCTGTTGTTTGTACATTCGCGAACCTTTTCCTTCCTGTTCTCGTCTAATGTGGAACCAAATTTCGCCAAGCTTTAAAATACTGAAAATAATTTTCCTCGTCCTTCAAATACACAGTCTCGTACGGTAGAAGAATCGCAGCTTATGACTTGTTAGTAGTACGGAGGTGGTAAGAAGAAGCTGTAAAAGATGGATAATTTTTGTGAAAAAGACCGTTGTGACTGGGACATAAAATTCGTTATACGTCGTTTTTAATTTAATTAGTGGAACACTCTATATCACGCAAAATAGAAGGAAGAGAACAGAAGGTATAACTTTCAAATGTACTCGAGGAAATACGAAATAATGCCCCAGAGCAATGATGACCTTACTTCAAAAGAAGTCTGTAGGAATATCTTTTCAAGAAGATAATAGTGATAGTAATAAGTGTGAAGGTAATCTTTGAGATATTTTACGTATTTTCTTACAAAGGTATACACTATTTGAGCGAGTTCAATGAAGTTGTTTGTTTTACATCCGGCTACTGTTATGTGCTTTGTTTATCTACAGTAAGAAAATTAAAATTATGGAAGTTAGGTCTAAATATTCCCTGTCGAAATACATTCCCTGTTGAAATAAATTTTACTATGATATCGATTTTTAGCGTACATGCAAAATTGACATCATATTTAAAGAACAAATTAATTTACACGACTATCTAATGGGCGACAATTATTTCACAGCAAACAAACTTTATTTTTTCCATGTAGCACGGATAATTCAACAGCTAAAATTTGTCAATAGTCAATGATATAATATAAATCTGTTTTAGTAGTTTAAAGAATGTGAACATTTTGTTTATGAATACGAGATTCAAATGAGCATAAAAAAAGTAGAAAAAATGTTTATCTGGAAATATTAGGATTAAATTTGAATGTGCTCTTGTAACATACTCTGACCTAGTATTATGACGACAATATGTAGAATCTTTTGCCTCTGAGATGGTGAGAATTTTTAATACTCATTTCACATATCAATACACATTGACATGAAATTTATTTAGAGTAGTAAAAGTTCACTTCTCTAATCTTTATGTCATTGACTCACGTCAATATGATATCATATGTATGAATTTTCATGTTTACAATTTGCATAAAGTATGACATAAATTTATTCAAATTAATATTATTGACAGAAATTGAAGGATATGGAAATCGTGTTAAAGACAAATAAACGAAGGATATTGAACACAAACATTTATTTTCAGTCTTCACGGTCTGCACGATACAATACAATACAAAATACTGTACAAAAAATCAATTACACATCATGTAACTGTCATTTTTATTTATAAAAAGTCTTACATTTCGTTAATAAAAATTATGAACACAATCATTTACAAGGTATTAACGACTGTACACAGTGATGAAGTGCTGAGTATAGATGATACCTGAATGAACAATTCCAAAAAAATAAATAATGACAATGACGTAAATTACAATGAAGTACAATGAAATGAATCACGACAATGAACCACGAATTACAAAACATGACACAGTATAAAAATAAACCTAATTTGTACTCTTAAAACGCGCACTAAGCGTAACTATCGGTAACGTTTACATTGCCTCCGTTTCTCGTGTCCTCAGTCGCTATCACAGCCTACGTAGCCATCGTCCAACACCTACAGTTCGGTGGGGAAGTTATCACAGTCATAGAGCGAGCGGCGGCGAGCGGCGAGGGAGCTGCGAGCCGGCGATGGTGCGGTTCGCGGCGCCCTCGCTACCGAACAGAAAGTTGAAGAAGAAGAGCAGCTGCTGCAGGATAACATCGATGCGCTCGCGCGTCCGCTCGGCGTCGTCGCCCTGCAGCTGCAAAAGACCGGGCTTGAGCGCGAGCGCCGCCCAACCGCCCCGCCCAGCCCGTGGTGCGCCGCGTTGCGTAGCGTGGCGTGGCGTGGCGTAGCGGCGCGGTGCCGTCCAAGCCCCGCGTGAGCGTGCGGCAGGACAGCGTAGCGCGGCAGGCGCCCCCGCGCC